ATATAAAAATAAGATATAAAATATTACTCCAGATTTTCAGGGTTATTGATCAGCGAATTAAGGTCCAATTCGCATTCTGGTGACACAGGTAATGATTTTTCAGGGAAAATGAGATTGAATTGGTGAATGAAGAAACTCTTAAATTGAATAACTAAAGATTATTTTTCAGAAAGCACTCTTGGGAATGAAGCTGAGCCAGACAAAGATAATTTTTTGGAAGAAGTTCTTGAAAAAGAAATTGAATTGGGCAAAGACAATTTTTCAGAAAAAGTTCTTGAAAATGAAGTTGAATTGGGTGAAGACAATTTTTCAGAAGTTCTTGAAAACGAAGTTGAATGGGGAGATGATGATGATAGTGGTTGGGAAGAAGAAGAAGATATAGAACAAGAAAGAAAATTTTTTGAAAAAATAATTGAAAAGCCAATAGAGTTAAAATGGACTGATGATGCACTGTTAGTAAAGCAAAAGAGAAGTATGTATATGAAGGGTAAGACTCCAAAATCTACTTATTATGATAAATATGGACCAAGTGGTTCATTCACTAAAGCTGCAGAAGGGAGTTCAAAGATTACACAATTTTTCCCAAAAAAAAGCCAAGAGTCTAACAATTTACCAAGTGATTGGAGAGAGGTTTTAGACAATTCTGATGATTCTGATATTGAGTGGGAAACTCAAGGTATAGAAGTTTTAAAGAATGATATTATTACTAACCAAAACAAAATGAGCATATTGGAATATAACAAGAAACGTGCAATTTTTGAATATTTAAACAGATTGGACAACAAAGGAAGAGGGAAAATGAATGCTAGCATAGAAGCAGCTAAAATAATATTTATTGAAGGTAATCCAGGTAAATCCAGAATTATAAGACGTTGGGCATCATTTTGGTTGAAAAATAATAAATTACCAGTTAGCAGACAAGGAAAACATCAAAAAACTATCAGAATCATTGATGATGAAGATATTGCTGAAAAGTGCCACATGTGGATAGGGACAATTACCCCTTTGAAGTTTAAAAATTTTGTGGAACAAAAATTATTGGTAGAGAATGGAATCACCAAAAAAAAGGATATTAGTGTGAAATCAGCAACTAGGTGGTTAAATATTTTGGGATATTTCTTTCAAAAGAATAAGCAGGGTTTATATTTTGATGGACATGAGAGACCAGATGTTGTTGAATATCGTAAAATATTTCTTGAAAAAATATTTGAATATGAAAAATTCATGACCAAATATGATGATATAACATTAGAGCCAATTTCACCTGATCTTAAACACGATGAAAAAGAAATTATTTTGGTGACATATGATGAATGTATATTCTATTCAAATGATGGGAAGAGAGGAGTTTGGGCTAAAAGTGGTGAGTTGCCATTAAAAAAAAAAGGTAATGGTAAGTGAATTTTTGACTGAAAAAAATGGAAGATTACCTTTAAATGAAGTACAAATTCCAAGTAATCCATATGTTCCAGAAGAATCTAGAGTTATTTTAAAACCAGGTAAAAATTATGAGGGGTATTGGGCTAATGATCATTTAATTGAGCAGGTAGAATTTAAAGCTATTCCAATATTTGAAGCTCTTTTCCCAAATTGTACTGCTCTTTTTGCATTTGATAATTCAACAAATCATGGTTCTTATAAACCAGATGCTCTTGTGGCAAGTAGAGTGAATTTAAACCCAGGAGGTAAGCAGCCAAAAATGAAAGATACTGTTTTTGAACCTAATAATATATTTCAATCTATGGTTTTTGAAGATGGGATACCAAAAGGAATGAAACAGGTGTTGGTTGAAAAGAACCTGCGGAAAGAAGGTTTGTTAGCTGATTGCAGGTTATGCAAATGAAAAGTTGTGGATGAAGGTAGGGTTGATTGTTGTGCCAGAAGAATTCTATCCTTACAACCTGATTTCAAAAACCAA